GTGCGAGGTGGTATCCCCATAATTGGACTTTAGACTAAAGGTGCATACCCGTGCTGCCCTCATCAACGCTAACGCCCTCCCTCTGCTAGAGGGGCTAGAGTCACACAGCGAAGGGCCAGGCCAATGAGTGGGAATGCAGTGGCGTGGGAACGGCCGTGTTAGGGCGCTGAAGGTATACCCTCCTCCCATACCCTGCAAAGCGCGTATCGCTTTGATGAATAATTGGCTTTGATCAAATCTTCTTTTTCAGGCAATATACTTTGAAAAAGGGCATAAAAAGGATAAAGGATAAAGCATTTGCCGTTGATCAATCCCTTTTTGGGATGCGGCACGCATTCTACTTCCATTTGTACATTCGTAGTGGCGTTTGAATGCGATGTGGCCTATACAATGACTTGCGGGGGCCAGCCGATGTACAAGTCAGTGTTTTTATCCTCCCAGACAAGTCTGGTACCAACCGACCCCGGAGGGATGGAAGGCTTGGTTGGCCCGGGCGACTCACGACCCAGGATTTGATCCCCGGACCGCTCGCGTGGTAAGCGTGCCACTTGCCACTACACCACTTCCGCCCCTGAAAAAGGGCATCTCGTCGGCCCAAAGAAAGAGTGAACGCCACGTAGTTTTATTCCGCGGGAATTTAGTCGAGTCTTTCAATTAATTAACAATTTCTCTTTGCATCATGTAGGAATTGGATGTGAAAATGGACGTTTTTCTTTGCATCTTCATATAACTCTTGTGCCATAGAGGTTGTACCGTGGAAACTTTAACTTTATTAATCGACCCAGCGTTTTGGCCAGATCGTCTTCCTCAAAGGGCTAGAAGTGGCTCAAGTATGAAAAGTGCTTCCTAAACCGCCAAGCGCTCCGCCTCTAGCGTTTCTAACATACGCTCAGGAAGAGCAGCCGAATATTGCGAACGAAGAAATAAATTTACCCAGTTTACCACCGCAGGAGCAAAACAGTGCTAAGTGTCAGTTGCAGCATGTAAATGAGAAATTAATACTATGCTCTCCTTGTATAGGAAATTTAGTCAGGACCTGCACCAGAGTCAACCCTGCGTTGCGCAGTTCTCAACGGCCACGTTGCGCAGTTTCGCCCGATTAGACACGTTCTCTCGCGCGAACATTCACACTCGCATGCTCGAGCCGTCTGTGTCTCCGCCCATACAGCGTGCGTTGAGGATCTCTCAACGTGCCGTTGCGAACTGCGCAACGCAGGGTTGACTCAGTGGCTCGCAATGCGGAGCGAACGCAAGAGATTGTTTGTGAGGGATAAGCACTCATTTTGGTTGTTCATTCTGGGATTCCTTGCGTGAATCCAGAATGCTCCAGCGCTTTTATGGCGGAAATTCAGTCTCGCACGCTAGGATTTTGCACTTGACATCAAAGTCATTTCCGTGTGCTCTTCGACTACATGCTTGCCGAGCGGTGTTGTTATATTGCCGCGCCTCTTTTCAGCAAGATGTTCCCTAACACGTATTGCTAGAGTTCTTCCAGTCTCCCCAATCTACGTGAGGATACGAGCCTGAATTCATTTTGATAGATCACGCCACATCCGGCGCAATTTCCAGCTAAACCATACGGGCATGTAGCGCAATTTTGCTGATATACAGGGTGCGCCAAAATTACGGAGACAGCGACTTCGAGTTGCCTAGGATGAGCAAGGTGCAATTCTTTGAAAACAAAAATGCAGTGACGTGCACAGTCCCATTCTGAATCGTCGACATCCATGCAATTTTTGAAATTCCTTGGTTTGTGTTTATACGGGTCCTCAGAAACATCGAGGAACCATCGACTGTGGCACGCAATGTGGCGAGTAGGACTCGTCAAGCTCATTTTAGAGCGGTTTCTTCAACGAATCCCTAGACATAATGTGTTTTATGCAAGCCTCAGCTTCTAGAACGGATCCGACAGCGTACCCTATCGAGCTCAGATCTGAAATGCTGTTTTACCACCGTCTAAGCCGACAAAGTCGAAAAAATCGGTTCTGCATCAATGCTGCACTAGTACTGAACCACCCTTGCCTCGTAAACGGGAGCTCCTACTTGATGGAAGGCCCAGCAACGATTTTCAAAGTGAAAATAAACTCAGGATAGCAATGGGCTCTGATAAGTCCAAAAGAGCCCCCCTGATTCCTATCTCTCGTGGCATCCAGTGAAACCAGCGCGTCAACTACCTGCAGATTCTATCGCACACAATCCTTAGATTGTTCGTGGTCGCCACACAGAAACATGCCCTTCTCATCCAGAATGACTGCATTCAGCTCCTTGTCCCCTGTACCACTTAGATCTATTGATAGTGCTCGGGTATACACCAAAACGATGGATAAAGTGTGCGGCTGCCAAAAACCTCAACGCTGAAGTCATATTTAGCGGGACCGGTTGTCAGTTTTCAGTCAACCGTGTCAGCATATCTGATTTTTGATGGGTGAATAAAGTATAGCATGCGTAATGCTATTCACAATTTACCAAAACAGACAGAAGAAAACAGATCTGTGAATTATTCGATTCAAAACTGGGTTGCGGCATGCGTCACTTGGTCTCCGTAATTTTTGGCGCCCCTGTATCATTGCTTCTATCGAGAGTTTGTGCGATACGAGTTGCCTTGGGTGGTTATCCTTTATTGAAATGCTCAACTAAGACCACATCATTGTCCAGGCTGCCGCATCGGGAAAAGAGGATCTTCTGATTGCAACAGTTAAGTATATCCCTAACTATACGATATATATATATGTATATATATATATATATATATATATAAAAGCGCTGGATGTCTGTGTGTGTGTCCGTGTGTCACGAATAGCGCGCTGACCAGCAGTCGTCAGAAGTTCACTATAAGATATGATATAGGGGGTGGGCGGGAACATATTTGGCGGGAAGACACGGTAATAAAGGCTGATAACATCTGATAAGGAGCGTGATTTGATTTTTGCACAGCCAAATATTTGAAGCCGTAAGGAAGGGCGTAAAACCGAAACGTTGTCACATAAAGCTTCTTTGAGAAGTTTCATAAATAGTTCTGGAGGAGAGAAAGTCAGCTTCAAATAAAAACAAGCATTGAGCTACAAGGAAGGTCGTTCAGGGTGTGCCAAGCTTTTTCAAAATGGTTTCTTGCATGATATAGGGGCACATGCGGGGACCACAGAACCATGGTTCATTTTTCCTGAACGGCCCTCTGAATACCAGAAAAGGGGTCCCTAGTTCGATTCCTCGTGGTGACAAATTTTTGCATTTCGAGTTGACGTTTCAAAATTCGCGCAAAATGGAGTTAGCATGAATAATTAGTACCATATTCATGATTAGGACCGTCAGTAACCCTTACAAATAGACTTTGATTGAAAAACTGGTGAAAAAGGTGTGACTAGGGACCCCCTTTTCTGGTATTCAGAGGGCCGTTCAGGAAAAATTAACCATGGTTCTGTGGTTCCCGCATGTGCCCCTATATCATGCAAAAGACCGTTTTGAAAAAGCTTGGCACACCCTGAAAGACCTTCCTTGTAAGACAACAATTAATCAGCTTGAGAGATCTGGATTTGATCCTTCTTACACATGAACTCGAAACAAATTGAAGACGCGGTAAGTGAGACTTGGTAGGGTAGGCGAGGTGCAGCCAAAGGTGACCTCTTCGTTAGGGCAGATATCGAGAATTGTCCTTTCATCCTTTTCTGACACGATCTAGTGGACAGTCAAAAAATCAGCACATAGATTCGAATATGGTAATGTAAATGTGGGAGGCATAGCGCTGTAAAGCTAAAGCTGCCTTGCTCAGGGAAGGCGAATTGGGGCAATCGGGTAACTAACACTTTTTTCTTTTTTTGGCTGACACTTCGCGTCAACTGTTCGCCTGACATTCTAGAAAAAGGGCAGCAACCACTCTGTCACAAATCAGTCGAGAATTTAGACTCTCATTAGGCCAGAACGGCACCCAGCACAGAAAGTCATTTGTGATTTTTCAAAGAGTAGTGAAGTCTGTCGTAAGGAGTGTGCGCAGAGAACCAAGAAGCTGTTGGATCAGCATTGTGTCCTTTGTAAGTATTTTCTGAACATTGTGTTTTTGAACATTGAGTTATTTAATGTATGTACTATTCACTAGAGGAGATGGCTTATCCATAGTGCAGGAACATACGCGTTAAAAATTACCGCAATGAGTGAGAGCACAGTGACTAAAAACTTGCACATAAAATTCCTTTTTTCGAATACTTCTCAGCAGTGACCTTTCATTGCATCACTGTAAGAGAAGACGAAGAGAATCAGTAACTAATTTCAGAGAGACAAGTCTGCTAGCTCTTGGGTACTAGTCACTGTTCTGCAAAAGAAAATTTTCCCGGAACGTTTGGAGGAAATAAGATTTTCAGTTTATTCTCATTTTCTGGGAGATATAATCTGTCTTCTTCTTTACCCTAGCGTCGCCTCGCGCAGTCACTTTAGTCAGTCATCGCCACTTTGTTCTGTCCAGGGCATCTCCTGCCATGGCCGTAACCTCACTCAAGTCCTTCATTATTGCTTCTTTCCACCTCTTCTTTGGGCCTCCTCGCAGTGGCCTGCACTGCAGTCTGCAAGACGGCGGAGATATACCGTGGTCTCATATCAACAAAACGCTAACTTTGGTCCCGTGCACGGATCCAGTTTCCATAACTTCTACTACTTCTCGTCGTGGTCAGTCGTACTCCTATGTCTCATGGCAGCATCTCTTAACACTCTTTGGGAAGACGGAGTTTTTTGAAGGAACAATTCGTCCGAGTATTCGTTTCACTCGTTCCAAGACTGAGAACCGACACGATCCCACATACTCCGCGAATCGATCAGAAAATTTGTCAACCGTTGTTACTTATCGTGAGAAAAACACTTTTTCGTAGCTGATTAGTGCTCAGCTGTGCTGCTGCTGATATGGATTGATAGTGTTTTTTTTTTCATGAAAATCGAGAAATATCTTCTTCTGCAAACCTTTATCTATGAGCTCTCTTTGGAAGAGAACTGAAACATAGAAAAATTTGTGAAGTTCATTACTCTTTCCACATCCAACCCAGATCAGGTAACTTTGTTTGAAAGTAGCACAACATATCTTGGAAGGTCTCATTAATATCGCTCTTGCAGTTGCATCCAAAAGGCGCCCATGTAGGCAGTCTCTCGATCTGAATAAAACTGACGAAGCGACATGTATCAACAGTCAAGGTATGATTTATAAGTTAATTTTAACATGAAGAGGCTCTAAACCCTACACAATATTAGGGGCCAAGCGGCCAGTCTATGCCACTCTAATTCGCTGCTCGCCGCAAGCGAAAAATTGGCTCCACAGAAAAATCTTGCCTAATCCGGGTCCGTCGCAATGAGCGACAGATACCTGATTAATACTGATCACTCACACACTCGCAGCTTGTTGTAAGTGCGCCTAAAACTGACAGAACGTCACGAGATATTTACGATGAGGAACATACATACATACTACTATCAGTTCATACTGGAATGGCCATGCAAAGACTGCGCTTCCATCTTCGCTCTACCTTTCCGAATTTGCCACGGTGTTTTACAGTGCGTTTCATAATTACAAGGCTTTGGAGCGCGCAGCCACTTGAAGATCCTTCCAGTAGCATCACCCACCTACTATTAGGTTGCGAGGAACAGAAAAGTCTAGATGCGAAACTGAACATTTGCTATCACATCCATGAAGTTAATTTCTGGAATGTTTCGTACTCGTCTTTTGCAGGAAAGACTAGATTGATGCATTTCGTGAAGCTCGGCCAGGGTCAGTCCTATCGTTGTTACTTTTTCAAAAATTTTTACGACCCCCCTCCCCCAAGGTGGATTTGGTACGACCCCCTTTTCGACCCTCGACCACCATATCGTTTAACTGGTTCGTATGAAAGACACCGTTGTGACACAATCAAAAAAAATGGCAAACTAATCTCAATGTCTCACCTGCGGAAAATATCGCTTGAATCCTCCCACAGTTTCTCTCAATTTTTGTATCGTTGACTTCTTTGACTTACCGTAATACCTTAACCAACTTTTCATTTCATGAAACTTATTCTACTACTATAAAAAAGGTTTAGCAATCG